TCCTCCTCAAGAGCTGCACTCTAATTCGGCGTTACAGGGAGTTGTAAACGGCTTTCACTTTTAGAGCGCAGCTCTTAGGGGCCCGTTCCCGGCTTATGCGGCGCCGCCGTCGGCGTAACCAAGGTCACCCCAAGGTCACGTGACCCCTCCCCTAGGGTCACGTGGCCCAGAAGGTCACGTGACTCACAAGGTCACGTGACACTCAAAGTCACGTGACTCCCCAAGTCACGTGACCCCCCAGGTCACTTCACCCCCCCGTACTCTTCCCTCCTCCTCCTCAAGAGCTGCGCTCTAATTCGGTGTTACATGGAGTTGTAAACGGCTTTCACTTTTTTTTGGAAATAAACCGTTTCAGAAAGATAAGTTAGCATTCTCAACGCCATTTAAATGTACAAGAACATGTTTATAGCGGGTAACTGTGTTTCTAAATAGTGCAAGAAGAATAAAATTTAATGATGATGATATCAACTTGCAGCAATCGGTTGCTGTGTGTGAACGCGAGCGGGCCCGTGTTGCTGGTGTTGCGACGTCAAGTTTCTGCGAGAAATTTCCCCGTCTGAAACGGGCCTCAGTACACTTCTTCGCATGTGCGATCGTCTTTTTACAAGCTGCTCATATATACAAAAGTTAACTATTAGGTTTAAATATTATTTACACTGAAAATGATTAAACTTACAGTTAGCCGCTCTTTCTACGAGTTATCCGGGTGTTGCACACCGCAAATATTGTTTTTCTTTGCTGTGGATCGTGATTGACAAGGTGCTAACACATTCTTCACGGTGTTCCTCGATGGCCAGTGCCTCGAGAAACTCACGTGCGAACGAATTCTTGTTTGTTGCCAGAATGGTGATGTTGCTGAATGCTCCACTGCATTTGCATGCCTTACAATGAGCTGTTCAACGGCGTGCTGCTGTGCCCTTCACAGATGCTGCATGGTTTTTAATCTTGTCGTTTATTCAGCGGCCTGTTTGTCCGATGTAATATTTACCGCGGGAAAGGGGAAGGGAATAGACAACCCCTGTTCAGCACTGGACATACACTGTTCTGTGGAAAGTGGCATGTTTTAATGCGAAAGCATTAACTGCCTCATGGAGCGAGCCACGCCAAACGGCATTTTAAATCCTTCGAGTGAAGGCAGCTCCCAGCTATGAAACCACGCGAAAAGCTCGCCAACGGTACCAAACTTGCCCGATCCCAAAGGAGCGGAATAAATATGATTGATTTTTGGCTTCGGTCCCATTGGCTGGCGAGCGTCGACGAGGCTCCCATTGGCCGCTGCGCGTCAGTTTCAACGACCGCCACCCCATGGCGCTGCGTGTCCGCCTGCTTGCCGTTAACACGGAGCGCCCAAGGTCAGCGCGCCCAGGAGAACGCGCGCGCTGACCGGCGACGAAAAGTACGAACCAGACGAAAAAGAGCAGACAAGCGGCTTTGCATGCATTCATATTCACAACTCATAAAGGCGATCTGCGCAGCAGCGCGAATGGTACCGTAACCGCCGCGAGGCCGCTTTTGCATAAAGTTCCACTGCGTCGAGCGCTTCAGATTCCCTTGCGAAGGAGGAGCAGATCGCTCGCCTGAAAAGCCACCGTCGAGAACAGAAGCTACCAGCTCCGCTGCTCTTCCTTTTTCGCCAGAGTGGAAAGGCTGAACATTTTTTCTTGTGGGTAATCTCGTGTTATACCATACATTGGTATAACATTTCTTTTTCTTCGGAGTCTGCCGCTGTGCGTTTAACGTCTTGCATGTGTTCTCACAGACGGGGCGGGGCCTAGGAGAGTTATCGGGTATCCTGCATTGCGTAATCTGGAAATTTGTTTTTCAAAGCTTGGACCACGTTGGTGTTCACGAGATTTGTTGAGGGCAGAGACAAACGCTGTGCTGGCAACACTTCTCTTGGTTGTTCCTGAGTGTCTGCACGTCAATGGAAGAAACCCTTTTGCTGACCGGGGTTGGTATTTCCTTGTTTAAACTCCACCGCAAGATCTAGAAACTTTAAGGAATTGTTTACGGGTGATTCATGTGTGAACACCAGATCCAGGCAAATCTCTTGAAAACATCTTACAGTCTCTTCTCTGTATCCTTTTTTTTTTCTGGTCAGCTCTCTCTGCGGCATAGAGTTCCGAAACATCATCCACGTACCTGAATATACCTTTGATCCTTGAGTCATTGTAAGACATGCATTGTAAGCAGTGTTGGACAAAATACTCGATAAAAGTTATTAAGTATTAAATACCTGCTTCATAAAGTATTTAAAATTCTACTCAAAGTTACTTTCACTGTAAAGTATCTTGAATAGAGTACAAGTACTTAGAAATGTAATTCAATTACTTTTGAAGATACTTCCACATTGCTTAATTTGTGTCGACGTCATGGACAACGACAATTATACAGCTGTGCATGTCTGGTTTACCAGGATGGTTTAAGAGCACGCAACAAAACAAAACAAAACAAAACATCGTAGGGCTAGTTTGTGCAGTTCAATATGAGGAGCAGGATATTGTCACAAATGGCAAAAAATAAGGCGGCGAATAACTGAAAAAACTAAGCGTTTAATGGGGCAAACTTGTGCCGCCCCCCCCCCCCCCCCCCCCCCCCCAAGAAAAAAAATATGAGAAAGGCTAGCGTTGCAGGCGTCGATGTCGGTGAAACAGAAGGATCGAGCGCTGGGGCCAGACTGACTCCGGACTGTCACTCGGAGCACCTTTTGTACCCGTGTGGGTTTTTGGAACATTCGGCGTAGAACGTTCGGCGCGTAGAACATTCGTAACTCGATCAGACGACAAGGTTCTCGAACTTACGAGAATGTCAAATTGAAAGAATAAATCGTTCAGCCTTTCCACTCTCGTGAAAAAGGAAGACCAGCGGAGCTGTACTCGATACACTGTGTGCTTCTTCTTCGTCGTCGTCTTTTTTTCACGCTGTTTTCTACGACGAATTCCCACCAACGCGCCCAACTATCCCTTATTCTATTATAGCTGGAAAAGCTGCCGCTATCTACGAGCGACGGCGGCAACCATACTGGTTGTGTGCTTGCCGCCGTCGCTTATAGATGGCGGTAGATGTCCATGTAAGGTTATGTCTACATACAGGGACACGATCCTGGGGAACATAGCCCTTAACAGCTCCACTGTAAGATAAAAGAGGAGTCCGCTCCCTGGAATCGAACCTCTGCGCGAAAGTGAAGAGCGGGGAGGAGATTAGAGGAGATCAGACCGTGGCGCCCCAAGCGGTTAACTTTAGAACTACACGAATCGGGACAACCAATACAATGACTCAGCGCTCGGCTGACATGACCGAATGCGGCTTCAGCGTTCGGTTGGAGTTCGTGTTCTCCGGTGAGTTCGAGGAGGGGCTCTTTTGTTACCACTCCGGCCTCTCTGAACAATGCAGCATGCACGTGCCCAGTTCATCACAAACGCCGTAGTGGGTCAAGCTCGCATTCCCTGACGACTGCTTTCGGGAGAGAACCGGCACTTAACGTCACTTCGTTTATTGTTAGGATTTTTACATTACACTGTGCCTCGCGCTCTATTGAAGAAGATGACATGGACATTCCCACAAGGCCTGTGGGCATGTGCACAGGCCTTGTAGTGGATAAACACCGAGGTGTGGGGACAACAAACGGGACAGAGCGCCTCGCCAATAGCGATATCGCTGAAAATCACGTGCTGCGGCGTACCTTAGATGTATCATTTAACTACAATTCATATGCCCTATAGGGGAGTTCACTATAAACGAACTTGGGATACGGATATGATTGGATGGATGACAAAGAGAACCTACATAATAGCTACGGCAGTGGTCGCACCTTCGACGCTTCTGTGCGTTTTTTGACGCAGGCTAAGCTAATCAAGCGCTGGAAGTAAGCCGTCGCCTTGCGTTTTTACAGCGGAGCTGTTAAGGACTAGGTTCCCGAGGATCGTGTCCCCCGCAAAGAAATGTCGACACAAAACTCTGGACAGCTACCGCCATCTATGAGTGGCGGCGGCAACCAGACAACCGGTCTCGCTCACAGAAGGCGGCAACCTTTCCAGCCTTTCCACTCTGGTTTTCACCAGAGTGGAAAGGCTGAATTTCTCTAGGCGTTGTCCTAGATTCATTCTCGAGGTCGTCCGAGAAGTCGCCCTTGAGGTTGTCATAGACGTCGTCCGAGAGGTTGTCCTTGAGGTCGTCCTAGAAGTCATCCTTGAGGTCGTCCTAGAGGTTGTCCTAGAAGTCATCCTTGAGGTCGTCCTTGAGGTTGTCCTTAAGGTTATCCTTGAGGTCGTCCTAGACTTTGTTTCTAAGGTCGTCCTAGGCGTCGTCCTTGAGGTCGTCCTAGACGTCGTCATCCTAGAAGTCGTCCTTGAGGTCGTCGTAGACGTCGTCCTCTAGGCGTCGTCCTTTAGGTCGTCCAAGAAGTCGTGTTTGATGTCGTCCCATCATTGTACAGCTTCGCTGGTCTTCCTTCTTCACCAAAATAAAAAAACTCAAAGTTTTTTTTTTTTTTTTTTTTTTTTTTTTTTGCGCGTGAGCGCGGTTTACTTGGGGAGAGCAAACGAGCTAAGACGAGCGCCGCAAGATGCAATTCACACACTTGCGTTTGATTGCGAAAAACAAAAAAGGCTTAACACTTTTCTCTAAGCCTCTTTGGTTGTAAGCAGTCGTAGGTGTGTGAGCCTGCCCGGTTCACGCGCTTGCGACTCCTTATACGACGGGAGAAGCTAAAAACCGATTTTCACACTCTTGTGACTTCTTATGACCGCGGCGCACACGGTCAGAAGCAGTGACGTGGGGGCTGGAAACCGGAATTTTAGTCTCGCTGATCGTAAGCGGTCGCAAGCGTGGGAAAGAGCGGCCATTTCGTTCCCACGTCCAGTGAACGAGTTCTTGGCGGTCGACAGCTGGGACCAGGTCACCGACAAGTGTGATGACAGTCAGCCTCGTCCCTCGGAACTCTCGCTGGTCTGTGTCATGTTCTCGGAGGGTGCCGACGGCAAGGCGCCGAGTCTAGGGTACTCCGTTCTTACCCCTTCGTGGAACCTGGTTGCGGAGAAGATCGACCTTCCCTCATCTTTTCTACAAGGCATCGATCCTCAACGACATTGTGAGTGGGCGTTCGGCAGTCCTACGCTCAGTGAAGGGCGCCTTCAAATTCGCAACCTGTCAGGGTGCAGTAGGTATTAACGGTGAAAGCTTAAAGCACTGGCTGCGTGGTGCAAATTCTGGCCCGATTGAAAGGGTTCAGCTGCATCACTTAATTCATTCAATCCGTGAAATAAATCAAGAAAAAAATTTTTTTTTTAATTTGGAAAAGACAACGGTGTACTTACTGTATTGAGTTGGGGGCGTTGGTGTAGTGTATAGTCTTAAGAGATAAATAAGCATAGAAGGACAAAACATGGGCAGATGCAGCTTTGGAAGCACATTTTTCGACAGAATACAGCACACCTTTTGACGCAACACGGCGAGCACATCTTTCGAAAGGTGTGCTGTCTGTGTTTATTTTAATTATTTTCTCGTTTTTTACAAGGGGGTTTCCCATTGTGATTTTCTAAGGCACGTAGAATCCTAAATAAAGGGAGCCATTGTGCTTCCTACAAGTATAGCGACGTTCTATGAAGCGCCAGGTGCGTACATGTTTTAGGAAGCAAATGGGCGGCGCACAACAGAAGACTCAACTGAACGACGCCATTTAGTTACAGCAGAATGTGCTTCGCCATTCGTACTGGTCGTCGTTACATGTAAAACGAAGTACCGCGGGGACTTCAGTATGCGGAGAGGACGTCGGTTGCTTGTTGCGCCGGGTTTGTGGTGACGTCAGAACAACGCCGAGCTGTGAATGGCTGATTGGAATGGTAGTGGGTAGACCTCAATGCTAGATGCGTTGAGGTCTGTCTACCCATTAAGTTTTTTTCAATAAGCCAATAAGAGCTTGTCGTCATGACGTCATTCGCAACCTCTGTGCTAGAAAAAACTTGCGCTCCGCGTACGTACGACGTTTGGAAGATTAAAACACTGTCTAGGTGGCGCAAGTGGCCATCCGGTTCAAGGAGTTTGGTCGTAATTATCTATTGGAGCTGAAGTCGGGTCATTTTTGTCGCACCTTGCTGCTTTTGTTTAGAGGCCGAAAACAATCTCCTCCCAACTACAAACACTCCTGTTGAATGACGCTGTTTCATTGTATTTCCTCTTCGGCGGCGTCCATCTCGACAGTGCGTATCTCACAAACAGTGGTGCCACTGTTTGGGCAACGCCACTTATACTTTGTTTCAGCGTTAAGTCCGTCCGTTGTCGAGCTTAGCGTGTTTGCCGCTAGGGGCGGGTTAGAGATCTACCAACGATGACGTCATTCGCAGTCCTTTGTCTTCTACAGGGTGTCTCAAATAGCGGCCAGGCTCTTTGAATCAACCGCGAAAATCGGTTTCTTAACCTATCGCGCTATGATTTTAGGCAACAATGCCCGCAGGTGGTGCGTTTTTTTCTATAAAATTTGCAAAGAGCGAACTTACCTGAGGAAAAATTTAAAAAAGAAAAAAGCTTAACTTCTATGGAAACGCAGCGAAGCCTGCGGTCTTCAAACAATATGGCGCCTGTAAAGTTTATATTCATCTGGTCTAACTTCTATGGAAACGCAGCGAAGCCAGCGGTCTTCAAACAATATGGCGCCTGTAAAGTTTATACTCATCTGGTCTCGTCTCGTGACGTGAAGTCTCTCGTTGTCTTCGGGTCTGTGCTGACGTCGTTGTCGCCGATTGCCAGTCAAGGGTCTCTTCTCGGGTTTTAGTGATGTCGGGATCGTAGACAATTTTAGGGTTAAATAACTTGGTTTAATATGCAGGTATTATACACAAAAATTACAACATAGTTGAAGTTCGCTAGTTCTCAAAACTCGATGGCCTCTGACGTTTAACTCTCTAAGTGACACCTCTGCACTTTATCTACTCGATTTTTCCGCATCGCTCTCGATGGGACTTTTTATCTCAACTCCTCCTGCATCGCTCTCGATGCGTCTCCTTTGAAATCTCTTAGTCGACTCTCCCTTCTCAACTCTCTTGCTCCCAACATAGCTACCCTCGTCTCTCTCTCTCTCTTTCACTCTCTCACTCTGACACACATTCTCGTCTCCGTGGTACGGCTACACAAATCCCGACAAGCAAAATAATAAATGAGTTCAGTTGGCGCTATCCAAAACAAAACGGCCCTCCGCCGCCGACTCTGTAAACATTCCAATCATCGACCCGTATACAAAAGCACGTACAAGTCCTTAATATACCTCTCGTGTTCACAATAGCCGATTCGCGGTACAACCCCGAAAGGTCGACAACACGGAATCGGACGTGCCATCAACGGCATAAAGCGCGTACATAAATCAGTGCAAACTCCGAACGAAGCTGTCAAGAGCAGATAAAATAAAATAAAGCACCTCCGTAGACGAAGAACATATGCGGAGCTCTGTATAAACTGGTGTAAGGTTACAACGTTCACGTTCGCGCCTCCACTTGGGGCCCATTGGCCCCGGGAGGGGGCACGCGCCGTGCCGTAAAGATGCTGGAACCCCCGAAGAAGGCCAAAACATAGAAAATAACACAACAGCGCCCTATTGTTTGAAGACCGGTGGTTTTGCTGCGTCTCCATAAAAGCTAAAACTTTTTCTTTTTTTTTTTAATTTTTCCTTAGGTAAGTTTGCTCTTTGCAAATTTTATAGAAAAAATGCACCACCCGTGGGTGGTTTGCCTTAAATCACAGCGCGATAGTTTAAGAAACTGATTTTTGCGTTCGATTTAAAAAGCTTGGCCGCTATTTGAGACATCCTGTAGGTGGTGTGCGGAGCGCAAGCTCGTCTTCTTTTTGCCCAAGGGTTGGGATGATGTCAGAATGCCGAGCTCTTATTGGCTGATAGAAAAAAAAAAAATAGTGGGTAGGCCTCGAGGCATCTAGCGCTGGGACCTACACACTATCCTTCCAATCAAAGCCGATCAGAGATGGGTGTCGTTCTGACGTCACCCATCTCCGCATTGGATTGGGCGGTGCTTCAGAAAAAGTGACATCCATGGTCTGGTATTTTCCAATATTCTAGGGGAAGCCATGCACCTTTCAAACGCGTGTCTTTAAACAGTTGAGAGCATGCCGGTCCGACAGGCGTCTCATACGTGAAATGGCGTGAAACATGCGCAGACCGCATGGCGCGTTTTTCTGCACGCGTAAACGCGACGCGCTATGAACGCTCGCGCGGAAGCTGACGCGGGGGCACCCGCATGCAGACAAAGCCAAGCACCGCCGGCCGCGCGTTATCAGCGTTCCCAGATAACAGAATTCTCAACACGCGTCGTAAATGTTGACGCAAATACTACGAAATCAGAATTAAATGAACAAATAAGTAAATAAAATGGGTTTGTGTGTCAAAAGGAACACCTTTTAAAATTTGTATATGGAAAATACGAATGCTTTTGAACGTTTTGAAATGTGGTGAATACGAAACAGCGGACTGCGCAGGATCACGTGATAGTTCGACCGACCCTCATTGGGCGAGAGCCGCTTCGACGCCTCGGCACGCGCGTCTTGTTCTGGGTCGGCTAGAAAAGAACGCTCCCGCGAAAACGCGCCCCCGCGCGCAAGAAATGACGTCAATTTGACGCCGACGCGCCTGAATCGAGAGCAAAAACGCGCCATGCGGTCTGCGCTTAAAGGTATAGTTTTGGCAGACGTGTAATCGCACCTTCTTTTTTGCACGATGCTCGTGGCCCCTGAGCCTTTGTTGTTTGATGAATTCATTCTTCAGAGAAATCACTTCTGCGTAACATCCTCATTAGTGTGGTAAAGCATCTGCTCGGCACACTCCGATTACAGACCTACTCGAGACCATCATGAGCAGGGTGGAGGAAGCTCAAATATCTCTGCAAAACAAGGCGTCCCTCAAGCCGGTTCCGATCGATGTAAGTGGCACTACGTTGGAAGTAACTCCGCGCTTAGGCTTAGCACACTATGCATGGACTTGGAGAAAGATTCGCATCATTGCAACCCCGCACACAAAAACCACTCAGAAACAGGAGCAGTGGTATGCGTTCTTTGTGTACATTACGGGCTTTTGTTGAGCTAGTTGGTTGATCTGTGAATATGGACAACTGAATGTTTTTTTTTTAAAGAAAGACGAAGATGAAGGAGTGGACCAGGATACAGGACAAAAGGGTCCTTCTCCACTTCTTTACTTTGGTGTCTCGTTAAAAAATTAAGCTGTCCACATTAAAGGTTTTTTGCGTGTACCCTGGACAAAAGAAAATACTGCTGCAACCCGGAAGTGTCTAGTTTTGCTTCAGTGAATTAGCGGGCCAGCTGATTATCATTATGTGGACCCGAGACTCGATTATACTTGTCACAAGGCACGGTTTCCACACTCGCGACTGCTTTACGACCGGAGAGGCTAAAAGCCGGTTTTAAATCTCTTTCGACTGCTCACGACCGCTGCGCAAACGATCGTAAGCAGTCACGAGAGGCTTAAAAAAAACTAATTTTATCCTGTCCAGCGCTAGGCAGTCGCAAGTGTGCAAACCAGCCTTCAGTTTGGGTCTCTAACATAAAACTACTACATCAGTCGCTATGAAAACAATTCGCGCAAAGAACAAGACGAAGATACGAACAGGACAAAAAGCTCTACTAACTGTTCGTATTTTCGTCTTGCCCTTGTCCTTTTGCGCTAATTGTTTACACTAATTGTTTACACAATATTTATAAAACAATCCCAACAGTTAATTTTGATCTGTCGCCATTTTAAGCAATGCTCCCCCTCCCCAAGCTTTTCATCAGGCAATTTCCGCGGCCCTCCCTCCCACAAGACGAGCCCGCAGTCTTCTCGCACATGTCCTTGAGTACGTCGTTGCTGGTCCTGGGATTCGCTGGACCCTTCCTTTTCCGTGTCAGCAGCGTGGTGAACGAGAACTCGGCTGAAATGAAGGTGAGACGGGTAGAGGCGGTGAACTATACACCGTCTACAAACAAGCCCACATTTGCCCGCAGCGCGTGCGCAGAAACAAGATTTGCGTGAGGCGAATTCTTCTGCGCATGCGCAGTGTCGACAGCAGCGCCACCGCAGTCGAGTTACGTCAGAGAGTTGAGTTGGTCTATATATTCATTGACAACTTGAAGGGGCCGTGCAACAGCGTTTGGACCAGGGTGTAAGATAGACAGGTGGAGAAACTGCCCATAGAAGCCTATGCAAGCCCCGTGACCGGATTGTGTACTCGTCTGCTTGCGGGTACCCCCGATTTGCGACAGATGGCGCTGCGGCGAGAGGAAAAAAAAGTCGGAATCGGATTTGCGTGGAACTCTAGGGGAGAGTGCGCAAAATAAACCGAGAGCACGACAGTCCTCCATTGAAAATCCACGAGAAACCATCTCCGTCAGTTTAGCCGGTCGCCACCGGTCGCCCACCCGGAGTGAGAGTTCGCGGTGCTCCACATAGATGGCGCCACAGAGAAAGAGAAAGCCGAGGGGGACACAATCCGGTCGCTCATTTGGCTCTCGTTTCCCCACCTGTCTATCTTACACCCTGGTTTGGACTTCGGTCAAATAATAGTGGTACTTGCTCCCTCTCATGTCTGGATTAAAGAACTGAAAACAAATCTTGCCTACTCGCGTTAAGTGCTTAGAAGAAGAAAAAAAAAAAGTCGAGACATTGACGTTTCGGGTGCCTTCAAACCACTCTCGACTCTTACGCCGTCTTCCGAGTCACGGGCGCAGTGACGCGCAATGGGGATGGGGGGGATCCGGTTGGGTTCTCTTTCGGAGCCTCCAGCGCGCGCAACCTCTGCTTCCGATTTCCATGGCGACCTTGAAAGTTGGTCTGAGCGATGTAGAAAAGGTGTGTGTGTGTGTGTGGGGGGGGGGGGGGGGGGGGTATAATGGCACATCTTGCCAACTTATTACGGGGGGGGGGGGGGGGGGGGAGTGCGACGATCTGAAGATTAAAATAATTTACGTTGTTTATCGTGTCCCGGAGGATAGAGAAAATATCTTCTTCATTAAAACACGTCGCTATTCCGCTTCATAATCGCAAAGCAAAACTCGAGCTTTGTCCCCCATCTGCAGCCGCGAGTGGCTGCCGAAGGAACTACGGCGAGAAGCTTACGCGACCTCGCTCGGCCCTAAAGGCCCGTTCACACTCTTGCAAGCGAGTACGACCGAGAGAGACGAGATATGTTAAAACTTCTTAAAAATTCTGAGGACGAGGGGGAACACACTGGTATTCTGGCGCCATCTATGCGGTGACCCTGGAACTGCCTTTTACAAGAGCGAAGGTTTTGAGGGATTTCCAATGTCAAATGTGCGTAATACTTGTAAGCAAGGCTCGTTTTTAACGTTGACAGAAGTTTTTCGAGCCAAGAAAGAAAGGATAATGCGCGAGAGAAATAGAAAATATGCCGGACCGCCAAGTTTACGCTGCTACCCAATAGATGGCGCCAGTGTGTCCTCTCGTTGTAGGAGGTTTTAAGGAACCCAGTTTTAAGAGGTCGCGAGAGTGTGAACGGGCCTTAAGCGCCGTTCACATATATGCGACAAAGTACGACCGAGAGAGACCAGACCGGTTTATAGCCTCATGCGACGTCTTAGGACCTTCAGAAATTAAAAACAGCGCGGAAAGACGAAGACCAGACAAAGAAGTGACACGGACGTAGCGCTGCGTCCGTGTCACTTCTTTGTCTGGTCTTCGTCTTTCCGCGCTGTGTTTAAATTCTGAAGTATGTACCAACTCGCCCAAGCCTCAACTTCAGAGTCTTAGGACCGGATGCGCTGCAGTGGAGCTAATCCTAAGACGTCGCAAAAGGCTTAAAAACCGGTCTGGTCTCTCTCGGTCTCACTCAGTCGCAAGAGTGTGAACAGACCTTTAAGCTGCAGCATTAAAGGGGCCCTGCAAGGACTTTTACTGTTTTTTAATTTGCACCGAACCTGAGCCAACTGAACGTAGGAACTTCGTGAAACTTTTCTTTTCGTGAAATTCGCTTTATTTTAAAAGTTATAGGCAATTTAGAATTACAAAAACAAGCAAAAAATAATCTCCTTCATGACGTCGTAGGTCCTGGCTTGAGTGTCAGTGAACTAGAGGAGGAATAGTGAGCTCATCGAGCGCTCACGGCCGCCGCACTCCGTGTCGACGGCGCCAGAGGGCGCCACTAAAGCATGTTCTGAATAGGCTGTATGCAGCGGGCAGCCAAAGCGGCTTTCATTGCGTTTGCTGCGCGATTAAACATGAATTCGGCATGACACTTCATTGGCCACAAACGACAGCAAACACGGGGTAAAGATCAGTTCAGAATGGGAGCCACTTCTCTCTGTCATACCGCGAAACGGCCAAACCACAAGACAAAGCCTCTCGCCGAAGGCCTTCGGAACGCTCGGAGCCGGTCAGATCCTCCTGTCCGTATACGACTGCAGCGCCACCGCGTACATCCGCGATTTTTCCGTGTCGGCGCCTTATCCCACTACTCCTTTCTAGTGATAATGTAGTGATTGCGCAGGCGAGCTGGTGGATGTTAACCATTTTGTTCTTAGCCCGAGACTGAGGCAGGAAAAGAGGAAAGTTTCAAAGTAGAAGAAAAATGAACAGTCGAGGACACGTCTCTAACACAGCTAACGACAAGTTTATTTGGTCACCTTCTTATATACACTCCACGAACTTCACCACAGAACCTTCCCGATCTCCAAAGCCAAAAGATAACAAAGGTCTCACATCTTTCCACCACAATTGTCAAACGACCTTGACGTTTTCCACAAAGCAACAAACAATAGCTCCCCTCACCCGGAAGACACTTGACTGAATCCTTCGCGTACACAGTACACTCTCCCCCTCTACTCTCCGGCCCACTATCACAAAGCATCCCGGTAACATAAGATATCAATCCACGTGATACACAAAGGAGGAAACCACTTACACCCTTCCACATTCAGCAACCACTTTACAAAACTTTCAAATCCGCAAGAATGATTTTGCACTGCTGCTAAGCTGTAACGACACCTGACTAATGCAGTTGCTTATTGATTTCATTCTTATTGTTTCTTTTACAACCCTTTTGATGTCGTTTAACTCCCTGTGTATTATCTTTGTTTCTTCTACTTTAAAACTTTCCTCTTTTCCTGCCTCAGTCTCGGGCTAAGAACAAAATGGTCCTTTCTAGTATGCGCCGCCTTTTCCACCGCTTGGCGGCGGGTATGTTGACGGGTCATTTCTTGTTTCCGTACTTTATAAACTGCATTTCTTTCTTTTTTTCATCTATAATAGTGAACAAAAACTACTTTTATAAATATTTGAAACGGTTCGCGCCACTTATATTTTGTATTTCGACCAAAAAAAAAGTTTTTAGTGGCTCTGACCAGTAGTAAGCCCAGGACCAAAGACGTCACATTTTGCGCGCTTTCGGTACCACGGGTCGCCCTCGTCGGTGGAGGAGGTTTCCGTGTCAACCGGTTAAAATATGACGCACTGATTTTTAGCTACTCTTTCCGTGCCCGCTGGCTTGCCCGAACCCCAAGAGACGTGGAAACCGCATAAAAGGTAGACGCTTAAATATGATTGCAGGGCCCCCTTAAGGCTCGTTCACAAAGTTGCAACCGAGTACGACCGAGAAAGACAAGACCGGTCTTTAAGCCTTGTGGGGATATTGGACATTGAGAACTTCAGCGACGATGCGGACGGCGTGCGAGAAACGAGCGCGGGGCCAAAGCACGGGGCGCGAGGCGCGTGACGGGGAGACAGGACAGATCAGCCATGGCGGCGCAAGCCACCGAACACCAGGCTTGAAGAATTAAGATGTCTCCATCATAACTTGGACCCTATCTCTGGGCAAGCGGTGAGCGAGAATGCCACAAATGGCGCCCAACGTGGGGTTCGCCGCTTGTCTGGGGCCCGGTGGAACAGAGTCACGATGGACGAGAAGAACATCATCCGCGACGGACGCCTGTTTGGATGCCGCTCCCAGACCAAGGAAAGTTCTAGGGTACCCTGCTGGAAAGGCCTACGTCAGATAATTGGGCTGCTACGAGCAGCAGCAGTTGTGCAGCCCGTTGAACACCTTGGCAGACCTAACTGGGAGAGTGGCGCATATCTTCGAGCAGTGGGCAGGCGGCTACGCGATGGACCCCTGACTGCGAGTCGCCCTGATCTCCAAGATGATGGCCCCGGTGGACGTCCACCCTATGCTGTGCTACGCCATTTCGGTGGAGGGGCCAGGGGCCTGGTCTCGGCCGACGGCTATGTCTTCTTCCACGTCGACCGCGGCAGGACATGGTGTGTCGACCTTGTCGGCTTGATCTGCGCCAAAGGCCGCTGGGGCAAGGAACTCTGGCCGGTCCCGGCAGAGCAGCTGGACTGCCGCCGCGACGGAGGCGGGACGGCCCATCTTCTCAGATGTCAAACCCTGAGTCCGACATTTTAAAGCGACAGTGCTGGCGTTTCCCTTTGTTCTCCCTTTTTCCCCGATCTAGTCGTAGCGCAAACTGGAAGACTTTTTAAGTTAAGCGGCGCTAGTGATGATGCTCGGTTGGGGGAGGGAGACTGGTCAGAAAACAGGAAAACCGTTTGTTATTCTCGATTTTCCCCTTAATTTTATATCAGTGTTTATTTGAAAGCGAAAGTGACTGCTTTGATTTGCGTTCTCTTTCCTCACCCGAACTAGTCGGGGTGTCAGCTGGAATACTTACAAAGTTAAGCGGCGCTACTGACGATGCTCGGTTGAGGGGAGAGACCGGTTGGAAAGCAGACAGATACTTTGTTATTCTCACGTTTTCTTAATTTGAAAATGAGGACCCAGTTATCGGCTACGTGAAGTTAATAATTTTCTTGAGGTGCTCTGCCCCACGTAGAAGGATTGGTGCAGACGTCTGGAGTAATGAACTGCCTGAGGATTTTGTGGCGCATGAGCAATCCAGAAAA